GATATATCAACTTGGTTATAATCCCTAGTTATTCAACCAAATACCAATCAGGGTGTTGCTGTGATGGTATTTTGTATGTGTGATTTAAGTCCATAATCAGTTGACTTTATGCAAGGGAGATTTTTCTAGATAATCTAGGCAGACCTGATTCATTCAGTTTTCAATAAAAGGCCTTAAAATCAAAGCTGAGATGTCCCTAAAAAAGAAATTTCTGATTGTGGGCAGTAGCTTCAGCCCTTGAACTAAAAGATCCTAGCTCAGTCTTTCTGATAACCTGCCCTACAAATTTCAGACTTGCCTAGTCAGCACACACAACTGAGTAAGTTAAATCTTGGCAATAAATTTCTTAATATATATTTTCTACTGGTTCTATGTCTCTGGTTGAACCCTGACTTTTATATCAGTGTTATGTGATTCTTTGGCAAATAAATGTTTTACTCTCTGGAATATAAAATATATAAAGCAGAGTCTATACCATTTTTATTTATGGATGTATTTATTTGCCAACTATGGCAACCTATGGTGTAGAATAGTGCCTACCTTACAAAACCTACAAAAAAAATGCTTGTTGAATTAATAATTAAAGATTAATAAATTTCTGTATTCTTAACCAGAAATAATGCCTAAATACAATTGAAAGTAGGATTATGTCCTCCAAATCTCTGAAAAAATACACAGTGGATGTAGTAAAAATCAGATAATAAGAAAAGGAACCAGATGTATAAACTTAGAAAAATAAAATAAAATACCAAAAGTAAATCTAAAACATTGATTACACCAATTAATGAATATTGGTTTAAAATTCCTTATTAAGAAAGGAAAATACTTAGATTCAGTTTTATGAAAATCCAACTGTTGTTTTAATTTGTAAAATAAAATTAAACAAAAAGCCTAAAGGGAATGAGAGGTCAACAGTATTTCTAACATATATTAGAAAAATAAATAAATAAAGCAGGAGCACCTGGGTGGCTCAGTGGTTGAGCATCTGCCTTCGGCTCAGGGTGTGATCCCAGGGTCCTGGGATCAAGTCCCACATCAGGCTCCCTACAGGGAGCCTGCTTTTCCTTCTGCCTATGTTTCTGCCTCTCTCTTTCTCTCTCTGTCTCATGAATAAATGAATAAAATCTTTAAAAAATATAATGTCTTTGAAAATATAATTTGATCATTTTCTAGGAACAAACAACATCCCAGTAAACTTCAAAAAATGAAAATTATACCAGCCACTCTCTCTGATCATAATGAAACAAAATAAAATGTAACAAAAAACATAAAACCACTAAAAATTAATAGTAAAAAAAAGACATATATTTATAATCCTTTGGGAGTTAAAATAATTTCTCTTAAATAACTGTTGGCTAAACAAACTCAAATGCAAAATGAAATGACATGTGTTAAAAGGTAAGGGATTTAACCTAAAGCTATATTTTTAAAAAATTAATAAAGTCAAAAGCTTGTGTTAATTTTTTAAAATAACAAAATAAGTAGACAAAATACTTTAAGCTATTGGAAAAGAAACAACTGTAATAATGGATAATTCCTTTAATAATAAAGGAGGGGTAGAAAGTAATGGTGATGTTTATAGGACAGTGAAAAGCAAAATAGAAAGAGAAAATTGATAGATAAAGCCAAGGTCTAGTTCTTTGAGAAAAACATAATGCAATTATTATTCTTTAACAAATCTATTAAAAAGAGATTGTGACAAATACAAAGATAATTTTCATCTGTGTATACTGTGTTCAGTTGTATGCTAATGAATTTGACAATCTAAATGATAGGGAAGAAATTGAAAATCTAAATTAACTGTAAGGAAAATTTTAAGTTATCATGAAATAACTTTCCCAAAAGACTACAGAATCAGATAATGTATATCTGAGTTTATTTTATGGATAAATTATTTTAATCTTTTGAGAAATTTATAATTCTCACAGAACATAAGCTATTCCACAACATAACAAAGGATGGAAGGTTTCCCAGTGTACCAAATAAATTAAGAACTAGTCCAGGGAATAAGGGGCTTAGAATTTCCTCGATGGTGACCTGAAATGACTGTTCTCAAACCCACTTTCCTCATCTGCAAAATGGAAACAGTTAAGGTATGAACTTCATAAAATGTCTATACATTTAAATGGCGTAATTCATATAAATCTCAGCTTAGCAGATTTCCAGGGACACAGGGCACAACAAGTTTGTTTTTAAAGCTAGGATAACCTTGATATAAGCAACTCGACATCAACAACATACTGATTTAGTTAGTGAGAAATAATGTAGAAATCTAAATACGAGATATGCAATCAAATTCAATAGACTCTTAGAGAATAATCAGGCATAAGTGCAATGACGATTTAGTATTAGGAGTTGAGGCGTTGCAATGAGTCCAGCTACATCAATACACCAATTAAGAAAAATATATTATCACATTTAAAGATCCTATGCCTGATACCACCTTATAAGTGAGGAAGGAAAGTAAGATAGCTCCTTAATATGATAAGCCAACAACATCTTAATAATGAAACACTAGAAAGAAACATTGCCCCTGAAATCACAAACAATACACAAATCCCTTCCATATCCAGTTTTGTTTAGAGTAGCAACGTAGCTAGCTTGGAAAAAAAAAAAAATCTGTGTTTAAATTCCTATTACAGGTAAAAGTTGCTATGTGACACAGTTCTAGCTATAAAGCTACAAGCAGAAATCTCTAGGTCCAGCTTGGGCGAGGGGGCAAAGTGTGGGGAGAGGCAGGGAGGTAAGTATAGGTGAAGCCTATTCTTCCTATTATTGGAGGGAACATGGAGTTGCAGGAGCAATCATAGGACCATAAAGCCTAAAGCCCCCATCTAAGGATCAAGGAACAGAAAAATTCACGGAGCCTCAATTTTCAAGGCATCACGAAACCAAGGTGCCAGGCCTGGGTGGCCTAGCTTTAGACAGAGCATCAACTTCTGATCCGCTGAGAGTCATTAATCCCTTAGTTATTTAAACCAGTTATTCTGAGTGCGGCCCCTAGACCAGCAGCATCAGTATCACCAGGGAACTTGCTAGAAAGCCAAATTCTTGGACACTACCCCATACCTACTGTCTCAAAAGTGTGGAGAAAATGCCCAGTGATCTGTGTTTTAACAAGCCTTCCAGGGGATTCTTGTTTTAAAAAAACTCTGAGAACCTCTGGTTTAGGCCACTGTCTTTTAGGTCTCTCTAAAAGTCAAATGTTTTCACTAAAGCATTTTAACAAAAAAATACGTTTTAACTAAAAATATGTTCTGCTAATGAACATTCTGAAAAAATTCACTAGGCTTTCAGAAAAAAAAATTAAGTCAGATATTTCCTTTATACACAAAATTGAATTTCAGACAGATTTGAGATTTAATACAGATATTTTTGTACATGTACGTGTATGTATACATAAATATACACATACGTGTGTGTATGCATATATATATATATATATATATATATATATATATCTGCAAGGCTATTTTGTGGCTGTTTTTGTCATTGAGTTGTGGAAAGATAAAAGAATAAAAGGGAGGAAAACCTGTCAACAATAAACACATCAATACATTTGACTAAAGTTTTAGAATAAATTTTAAAGCAAGAACACACAAGACAAATTTAAAAGGCAAATGACACATTTATAAATTTTCTCAGAAAATATAACAAGGATTGGCATTCTTTCTATACGGACAGTAGTATAAGATAAGTAAAAAACTTTAAGAGCAAGGCGCCTGGGTGGCTCAGCAGGTTAAGTGTCTGCATCCTGCTCAGGTCATGATCCCAGGGTCCTGATATTGAGCCTCCTGTCAAGCTCCCTGATTCTCCCTCTCCTGCTTGTGCTCTCTCTCTGCCTAATGGATAAATAAAATCTTAAAAAAAAAATACTTTAAGGACAAATAAAAATGCTATGACATAATGTAGTATCAAATAAAAGAATCTAAACATACTAATATATACACTATGCATATATATGAGTATATATATTACACATATATAAAAAATATAGGTATATATACACACATAAATCCTTAAGGAAATATTCTAATATGAACAGTTGTTATCTCTGAATTATGGCATTTGACTGAATATTTCTTTTTAATTTTCTGGTGACTTCCAAATTTTCTACCGTGAACATGGATTGCCTTTAAAACCAGAGAAAAATAAAAAAAATGAAAATAAAACCAGAGAAAAATGCGCAAAAATAGGATATGTCATGGTTGCACATAACAGGAATAAGAATAGGTACCATGTGAGGACTAAGGGTCTAATCACTAAGAAGAAGCCTCCAAGAAATCTTACATAAAATTGCAGAACAGAACAAATAAGATTTGAAATGTCTCTAATAATCATCCTACTGTACTAAAAAAAAAAAAAAATATTGTTCCCTGAAGTGGCTATCATTTTGCCCCAATTTCCTCGAGTTGGAAGCTCCCCCAAACCAAGCCTCGCTTTCGACCTCACCAACACTCCTAACCCCAAGGCCCCTAAACTGTCAGAGACAGCACAGTGCTTGTAGGGGTTTGCTCAGCACACTGGATGCTCTGGGGGCCTCACATAAAAGGCATCCTTTAAATGAATAAATGAGTGAATTCAGGGACACCCGGGTGGCTCCGCAGTTGAGTGTCCGCCATAGGCTCAGGTCATGACCCTGAGTCCCACATCGGGCTCCCACAGGGACCCTGCTTCTCCCTTGGCTTATGTGTCTGCCTCTCTCTCTCTGTGTCTCTCATGAATAAGTAATTTTTTTTTAAAAGTGATTTCAGGAACTAACCCCATCCTTCATCTCGTACTCTCCCTGGCTGTCTTGTTTCCCATGCTGACTTATTCTGTGTCCTTTTTCCAGCGTGTGCTTCTAGTTTAAGTCACCATTCACTGTACCGTCTAGTTTCAATCTTCAAGCTTCACTTCTCTGATTTTAACCGCTACCGACTTGGCTTTTCCAGGGACTAGCAGTGCAACAGTGGCCAAGCCCTAAAGTTCCCTACTTAAATACTGACCTCAGGGGCAGTTCTGATAGCAGAAGAGTAGCTCCATAGGTCCCAGCAATGGTATCCTGGTAAATATTTAACAACCAGCTCCCTCTGGAAAAAAAAAATTAATATTGATACAGTTCAGTACACACACACATTTGTTATGAACTTTTACTGATTGGGAGGATATTTCACATCACACAATTTGCAGATAATAAGAATAGACTATACAGTAGTCTTTTCTGTGAATTCATCTTAGTTAATTAAATCTCCCAGAACCCTTTGGTAGTTTTTTCTGTTAAATTCTTGTATTCACAGCCAACTATAGCTACAATCGATGAGCAAAAATGTGGTTCTGATGCAAATGTTGGTTGATACATTCCTTTATGTTAGTTAGAAAGTAGAATAATGGAGACGTATGTAGGAACCTCATTAGTCAGTGACCTGACTGACTTCTTTGCTCAATCAGAGAATTGTTTTTGAATATTGGGAGAATATTCCCTCAATTTTGTGTGCTATTCACACTGTACTGGTGGCAGCCAAGGCATACCGAAAGGTTTAATCTGCATTTTCCCCATCACTTTCTAAAGTCTAGACAATCAACACATGTTAATGAAGCCTTGGTTTGTAGTGTTCATCTGTTTCCATGATGTGACTATACCCATCATGGCTGATTTCAAGCTGCCAGGGTAGCTTCACTCAATGTGGAGGTGAGAATGGCTGGACGATGCAAACCACTATATAGCATTCTATCTAATAGACATGATGGACTCAACTAAGCTCAAGAGCATGGGTAATAGTTAAATGTAGCAAAATAATTTGCATCTGGTGAATTTTGAATCTTTATTAATAGGCTTGTTTAAAAAAAATAAATAATAAATAAAATAAAAAAATTTTTTAAAATAGGCTTGTTTTTAATATGATTTAGTTAATGCTTACATAAATTAATTTTTAATAATGGCTTTCAAAATTCCTGAGGTGTGTTTTTCATGAGCAGATTGCTAGCCCCAGCTCTCCCGTGTTACCCAAAAAAGAGAACTGCGGAATATATGCATCCGTAAGGATGGATGCGTCTTCCACCTTGCTAATGTATTCTTCCAAGAAGTCAAATATTACAGAGCATTAGGGAAATGTCCTAAACATTTGGGTCATTGTGGCTGCATAAGCAGTGGGCCCTGGGCCTCATAGTTCAGCTAAAATACTTGCAAGAGGTCAGTGTTCCTGAGGGGAGCCCATGGTAGGAGCTTGCTGACTGTGCATGGGACATCGGACTGGAGTTGTCTTAGAAGCTCAAAGAATGCAGGAGCAGTCAAAAAGGCTCTTTTCCACCTTGCTGTGGTTGTACAACTACCTTGCTATGGTAGTATCATTATTCATATACATAGAACTACATCCTAGTCAAGTAGGGATAATAAAATATAACACTTATTTACTGATTGTTCTGTGCCAAACATCATGCTAAATACTATACGTATATCATCTCTTTAATCTTTAAAGCAATCTTGAGTGGTAAGGATTATTTTTCCCACTTACAACCAGAAAACTAAAAGAGCAATTAGGAAATTTGCCCAAGGTCACACGGACAGCAAGTGACAAACTAGGATGGGAATCACCCGTGTACCTCCAAAACCAATGCTTTGCTATAGAATCTCCTCAAGTCTGGAGATCCAAGGACTTAGAGAATCCATTAATAAAGTCCTGGAATGGTATCCATCCACTCTTCAACATTCCTCATTAATCCCATTAACCAAATGTCGCTGCTGTATAGCTATTTTCGGCTGAAATTGTTAATAGCATCCTTTTCCGCTATCAGAAGTGTTCTAGTGTAGAGTGTTCACTTATATGGTCCCTCTTCGTGTAGAAGAATGTGTTCTGCATATAAGCAAGCTGGGTTTCTGCCACGAAGGAAGTTAGCCAAAAATAGGGCAGTACCAAACCAGGATCTACTCTGTTCTTCTCCACCTTGTGGGGTCAAGTCTGCACAGACGCATCTCCAGGGAATCTATACATCCAAGTGTGTGTGCAAAAGGGACATGTGAAATTTTTCAAACATAACTCCGCTACTTAAAGTGGAGGGTGATGCCTTTTGACATCGGAAGCTACCTTCATTGACTTCCACTACTTACACATCATCATTCTTGAATGAATGATTCCCTAGACCTGACTTCCTGTGAACACCTCATCCTGACCATCTTGGACACATTTCAAAGTAAGTTTCTCTATACCAATCTGGAAAAGTCCAAGCTTTCGCTCCCAGAAAACCCAGTGGATGCCTGCAAAAGGGGCAGTGCCTCAAAATGATTAAGATTATCTAACATTTTGGGACACCAGGGTGGCTCAGTGGTTGAGCGTCTGTCTTTGGCTCAGATCGTGATCCTGGGGTGCTGGGGTCAAGTCCTGCATTGGGCTCCCCGCAGGGAGCCTGCTTCCCCCTCTGCTTGTGTCTCTGCCTCTCCCTCTGTGTCTCTCATAAATAAATAATTAAAATTTTAAAAAAAAGATTATCTAATGTTTTTGGGATGTCAGGTCAACAACAACCAGTTTAGTGGTGTTCTCTGATTATTAAACATAACTACAAATAGGGAAAAAGACGTGGAAATAAAACAAAATTTGGAAAGCCTCAGTGGAAACATAAAAATAATATGGTGTGGAGCCAAACAAAAATACTGGTATTTTAATTGAGTATTTATAGATTCTCTTAAAGCATATGAAAATTAAAAGCCCTATTCTCGTGACCATATCAAGCTTAAAAAGATATAAACAAATAATCTGCTCTTACATCTTGAATATTATATGATCTCTTTCTCTGTAGATGAACACTGTCTTAAGAAAAAGTATTGATCAAGTTAACAGCAAATGGTTTCACAACTTTAAATATGTTCTGTGTAGCCTTTCATTAAATTCAGATTTCCAAATGCTGTCTAGTTCTTGTGATACTGATGAAAGAAAGAATCTATAGGATATATCACAGTACTGTTTTTTGGTCTTTCCTATCAGGAAAACTACATTTTTTTTTTCTGGTCTCAAAATAAGCTTATTACTGGTTTTCTTATAAGGGTCAAAAAAAAAAAAAAGAAAAAGAAAAAAAACCCCACAAAATAGCAGTCTAAACAGAAAACCCATTTCTCTCCCTAACATTGCCTGGAGCAATAAGGTCAGCAGGCTTGCTTGTGTGCATGTGTGCGTCTGTGCGCATGCATGTGTGTATGTGCATGTGTAATAGATATGTTATATTGCTGCTTTTCCTAGAATGTTTTTTCATTCCTCTTTTGCTAACACTGTTTCGGGTTTTTAAGTATTAACGCAATCAAAAATCGAGGAATTAATCCTGATGTATAAATACCTTAAACACCACAGATGGCTCATAACAATATTAAACTACAGTTTCACAAGCACTCAGAGACTAAAGAATAATACTATGGTCAAGTCACAAAAAATATATTGCCACAAAAATTCTAAGCCAATGATTGTGGCATATTACTTGCATTCTTTTTGCTACTGATGTACTCATATTGGGCTGGATTGAATATCAACATTTCTTTACCAATATGATCTTAATGAAAAATTAAGGATTTTTATATTCTTTTGCCAGGTGGAAATTCATGGTTTACTGTTGTCTTGGCACCCATAAGAAAAGAAAAACTATGTGTGAGTTTCTTTGAAATCTTCCATTCTTATGAATAGCTTCTTTTTAAAGTATGTAAATATATCTTTTCATCAATATAGTATAATTTTTCATAATCTTTTCTAAACCTTGCCTCAAAATGTTTTAGAACATAAGGCAGAAGGAATTATGAAATGACTTTTAACAATCCACTGAATAATAAGCATCGATTACAAACCTCCTAACATCATTGCGCCAAAAGACCAATGTACAACTCTGGTCTTGCCATCTAGGGTAAAGGTGGGCAAATTACCGCTCACAAACCAAATGTAGACTAGGGCCCATTTTTTGTTTTGGGTTTTTTTTTTTTTAAGATTTTATTTATTCATGAGAGACACAGAAAGAGAGCAGAGACATAGGCAAAGGGAGAAGCAGGCTCCATGCAGGGAGCCCGATGTGGAGCTCGATCCCAGGACCTCAGAGTCACAACCTGAGCCACCCAGCCACGTTAGGGCCCATTTTTTGTATGACTTTCTACCTAATGTGTTTGTTTGCCTAAGAACACAAATTAATTTTATTATTATTCTTTAATATTTTATTTAAATTCACTTGCCAAAATACAGTATAACACCCCGTGCCCATCCCATCAAATGCCTTCCTTGGTGTCCATCACCCAGTGACTCCATCCTCCCATCCTCTTCCCCTTCTGCAACCCTTTGTTTTGTAGAGTTAGGAGTCTCTCATGGTTTGTTACCCTCTCTAATTTTTCCCCACTCAGTTTCCCTCACTACCTAATGTGTTTTAATTTTTAAAGAGTAAACAAGTATATGCAACTGAGAGTATGTGGTCTGCAAAGCCTAAAATGTTTACCATGTGGCCTTTTAGAGAATTGTGGCCCTGATCTAAGAGCTCATGATACTGTCAAGGAAATAATATTGTCCATACAATTAGCATATGTCCGACAATTAGTGAGAAACATAGGATTATATAACAAAGTGCTAATTTAAAGAATGGACAAAAGGTAAGGTTGGAATTCGGAGAAAAGAGGCATTAGGGGATCCCTGGGTGACGCAGCGGTTTGGCGCCTGCCTTTGGCCCGGGCGCGATCCTGGAGACCCGGGATTGAGTCCCACGTCGGGCTCCCGGTGCATGGAGCCTGCTTCTCCCTCTGCCTGTGTCTCTGCCTCTCTCTCTCTCTCTCTCTCTCTCTCTCTCTCTCTCTCTGTGACTATCATAAATAAATTAAAAAATTTTTTTTAAAAAGAGACATTAATCACTGTGGTCAAAATCATCAGGGAAAGTCCATGCAGATGAGCACCTCTCAAACTTCCCTGTGGTCATGAATGACTTGGGCATCTTGTAACCATGCAGATTCTAAGTCAGCAGTGTGGGATAAGCTCAAGTCTCTTGCATTTCTAATAAGCTCCCAAGGGAAACCCACGTTGCTCTTCCACGTACTACAGTTCGAATAGCAAGGACTAAAAGGACAGGGAGCATTTGGAAATGCGAAGAGCAGCATGTAAAAGGGGCTGCCTGTTGATGCACTTAGAAGCCATAGTAACAGGCTTAAGAAAACAGTTCAACAGCAGAATAAATGTACCTGTGTTTTCCATATGTTTCATGCCAATGAGATGATAACCCCCAGGGCCCAATTTCCCCCAACCCTGCTACCCAGATTATTGATACTAGACCAAAGCCAAAAGAGTCTTTTACATTCGTATGAAATACACCAATCATTTTTTCCAGTAGTCTGAAAGACAGGAAAAGCCGTGGTGAAAGGAAAATTTTCTTATGCCTCGAACTGGATTGATATGAGCAGACTTACTCTGAAATATAAATTTTATAATTTAACTAATGACTTTATATCCTTTTACATCCAAATTGATCCAAAACGTCATCTAAAACTTTAATGTTTTAAATGCCGTAACCTCACTCCCTAAACAATCAAAAGCCATTTTCAGCTCTGGCCAGGGTAACCTGTACAAACGAACCATTCACCAAAAGAATCATTTGCCTCTAGAACACTTCAAGCATCCCCAAGCATGCATTTGGCTGAACTAACCTAAACACTATTAACAGTTATAAAAATTTTAAGAAGATTTTGTTATTTTATTTACTGCAACATAAACAGATTTGTAATAGTCTCAAGTACAGTTTAGGGGTGTTTTAAGTTAAAATTATGGTGACAGAGTGAATGATCCTGGATCCTGCTGCTCAGGGAAAAAAAAAAAAAAGTCAAGGGCAATCTTTAAAATCAGACCATCTTTCTGCTATTCGTAAAAGCAAAAACGCACAGACGACAACTAGATTCCATTATGGTCAGGGAAAAGAGAGTTGTAACCCTGAATAAGACATTTTGGGGCTGCTCAGGTTTTCCCCCCACAAGGTTTCACTTAAAGCAGTTCAGGAAAATGTCTGTTCAAATTACCTCTTTGACACCCACAACCATTATTCCTGGGTAGATATAGGCCCAACGGGGGCTGCTATTGAAATAATCGGTGGCATTGAATTCAATTAGCGGTCCTGTTAAGTGGGGCCTGCAGAAAGCTCAGTGGGCAAAAAACAGGTCCCACTCCTGAATCGAGTGACGGTGCTCGGCTTCCTTCCTCCTACCCACATCGACAGAGAGATCTCCCAAGGGTCACTCAGTTAGAAAGGGTCCCTTCCGACTTGGCGCTACCTTTCCCGGCAACCTTCTAATTTCTCAGCCCTAGGAAATTGCCCCAGGCTCTCTTTTCCCTTTAACATTTACAGCTTGGTTTCATTTTTAAGCCTGTAACATAGGGAGCAGCACTCTCTGGTCCAGTTCTCAGCTCAGTCACTGAATTGAGAGGCGAAAACTGATGAAGACTTTAACAAATAGGTATGGGGAGGAAAGGCTTGGAGGAACTGAAGTTACTTAAACCGGAGAAAGGAGAATGAGAGGTAAGAAAATTACTAAAAATTAATTTATGTAAACATTAACCAAATTATATCCAAAACAAGCATATTAATAAATACTCAAAATTCACCTATTGCAAATTATTTTACTACATTTAACTATTACCCATGCTGCCGCCAGCTGATCCTAGCTCGTAAGAGCTGATTGTTAAAATTTTAGGAATTAGGCTGGCGAATTGTTAAATATGGCCATTGATCAAAAGAAAATTATATACTCTTACATATTACAAACAAAGGGAATGCAAAGGGGTCCAAGAAAACTTTAGGGGTGATGGATATATTCATGACCTTGATTGTGGTGAAGACTTCAGGAAGTATGTATGGTCCTGCAGATAATTGCTAAAACATTTCAGATTTTGTTTATGGCCTTATAACATTTTTGGTCAAATTTAAATAAGCCTAGTCTTAGTAATTAAACCCTTCATTTTTCTTATGTCGTCTGTTCTCCTATAGACGGTGGTAGAGAAATTTAGAATCTCTGTTTTAGAGAATGGAGACATGAGTTCTGCGGATCAGTGGTACTTTGTCCTGCGCCACTGAAAACTCACCTGGTGACTATAGCTTCAGGATGGCCCAGTCGGAAACCTCTCCAAGCTACTCAATAGCTCATTTGTAGGGGCTGAGCAAGCAAGTTGCTGATTGATCCAAGGCTGGAGGCCAGCAAGGAAAGCTTATTGGCGAGTTGAGAAGGTAAGGGGATTGTGGAAGGCCATAAAACAGAGGCGGAAACATCATCCTGGAGTATGGGCCTGGAAAAGCAAACAAACACAGTCTATGTATTCTAAACTTTTAGGTCTTTATAAAAACCATGAGCCAAGAAATGAAAAATAAATAAATAAAAATAAAGTGATTTCAGATGACAGCCAGTGTCCGTCCACTATAATTTGTCTCAGATTCAGATGAATCGCTAAGATATTTTAGCTCCCAACTCTATCTTTAAGTGGGTTTCTGGTATAGTCTATTTTGAACTTTTCAAAGTAATATCTCTTTAAGTTATAAAAAAAAAAACTGCCTAAATCTTTTATAAGTAAGCCTGAATTTGCTAACTTCTGCAGCAACCATCTTGTCCTTGAGAACGGCTTTGGTATCATGCTTTGCAAACAGCATTTAAAGTAAAGGCATTTAGCAGCTGGCATTTCTCTGTTCCCAATTCATGCCTTCTAATAAAATGTGAGGAACAATTAGACTATGACTGTTGATCCTAAGCTTTGTTTTTGCTCAGCTTTTGTGGATGTAAGGAGTGCAGACTAACTGACATTCGCCAGCTCAAGGAAAGGACATTTACTTTCAGGGCTCCAGTTGAAAAAGAAAAGGACCGCATTACCACAGAACCCGGCCTTGGGGTGCTGGCGCTGAATGGTCGTTCAGCTTCCAGGTATCTGGAACCTACATACTCATTCCAGCTGTCGTGTCAAATAACATTGCAGGTTTTTTCTGTTCCACAACCTGCAAGCTTTCTCAAAGTTTATGTCCCCCCCCACCACCACCATGGTTTTGAACAAGGCCCTCTAGCAAATTCTTACATCACATCTCCAAGGACTATGAAATATGATTGTTTCAGGGTCTCTTTTGTGATAGTCAGAGGTGGACAGCCAGCCTCTGGGTTGGTTCCCAAAGTCAAGTGCCCACTCTAGTCCAGTTTTACTTGAGGGCTCAGTGGTTGAGTGGCTGCCTTTGGCTCAGGTCAGGATCCCAGGGTCCCATCGGGCTCCCCGCGGGGAGCCTGCTTCTCCCTCGGCCTGTGTCTCTCCCTCTCTCTGTATCTCTCATGAAAAAATCCGTAAAATCTTAAAAAAAAAAAATCAGTTTTACTTGACTGGGACCACCTGGCATATGGGTGACTAAAGTCAGCTAGGCAGAGGCTCTTGATGCAGTTTCCACAGAAGAGGGATGGACACTGTAGGTGATTTTAATGACAGTTGCTAGTAGGTCAGGACTGAGGCAAAATGGGCCCAACACTTACCCAGGCTCATTTTGGGGTATCCTAGGAACATAGCAAAAGACGATAAAGAAAATACTCATTTTGTTGTCTGTTCAGATTCTGCTCTTCGTATCTATTGACAATTGATATATTTGGATATGTAATGGCCAATTGATAGTTTGGAGCTGTGGTGGGGCTCTGTATACATAATGTGCTACAGAACAGCAGAGTTAAGGTTTTCATTGTGTTTTTTGGTTTTTTTGGTTTTTTCTTGAAACAAAGACTTCTCACAATTAGCCATCCACCCAGCAGGCTGTATCATTGTGATGTAAGTGATAGGACAATCAACCCACATAAAACCTCCTTATCAACACTCTTGATTAACTTTTGTTCAATAATCACTGTCAAGCTTGTGGATAATTCCTGCAAGTAAACAAGTAAGAGTTTAACTTCGGTTTAATCAGAAAGTGTCTAATTGTATTAAACCTTATAGGTACATCATACTCAAATGCCTAGAAATGCTAAGTTTTGGCATTTTGAATCATATTGCATTCAAACGTCTAGGAGACCTATGTTTTGTTTTTTTTAAAACATTTTATCAAGGAGTTAATTATATTGTACTGATTCCAAGAGCCACTTTTAGGAAGTACAGTTAATTTGAACTACATTTAGAACTGTAACAGATTGTGCGAATTAAGTAACTTCCAAGCTAAAACTTATGATATAGCTTCCTACCACATAACCATTACAATTACAGCCATCCTGGGCATGCTAACCTAACAACACTTGGCTGTTATTTGGGCTCCAGTTGCTCCTTTTTACAAGGGTTACTTGGGCACTATAGAATTTGGACAGTTATGGGAAATTATTCATTGTTATTTTACTTGCAGTATTAATATGTTTTAAAGGATTACCACGTGGTTATTACTCCTACAGGCATTATTAAATTCTTCAAACTCCTTTAACTATTTTCTAAGTGGGAGTTGAATTTTTTTTTTTTAGGGTAATAAGTCTTTTAGATAGCTATCATGCCATCTATTTAATAAAGTGTTGTAGTGAACATAATTTTTTTTTTCTTTCTGGGATTCTTAGCCAGTTGATAGGTATGTAAGAGAGATCACCAAGAGAAATAAGTATTCCTCTTAATTAAACAATGGGAGTTTCAAGTAGTTAGGGTGAATTTTAAGAGATGTAACCTTCCAAGCAGTCATATCCACTTATAAACATATACAACTAAATAATGGTTTAAAATATGGAGATTGAAAACAACCATGGCAAGGTAAAGATCAGTAGAAAGTCAATGACTGAGGAAAAAGAATGGAAACATTTAGTCACATTCGTTTATATAATTGTCAGAACTGAACTTCACATTTAGCTGTAGGATTTCTGTCAGCCAATCAAAGGAAATTACAAAGAAGAAATACATTTCAGTTCCTCAATGGAAACAAAGATTTTTGCCTTACAAAAGTCTTAAAAATATTTTTATTGATGTCTACACACAAAAGCACACAAAACAACATATTCGGCTCAATGAATCATCACAAAATCACTAGAACAAGAGAACAAAGCCTACACACGAGATTACTGCCCCCTATTCCCTTGTAATCATTGTCCCTTCTCCCCTTCCCAGGGTAACCATTATCCTTTCATGGTAATCGACTCCTCGATGATTTTTTTATGATTTTAACGCTTAAACTTAACGACTCTATACAACACCTTGCCTGTTTACATTCGTGTAAATGGAATTATATAGTATTCTTGGGATGGAAGAGACTGGGAGTCTGGCCTCTTTTCCTCAACTTTATGAGATTTTCCACATTGTTGCAAGGGATTTTGTAACTTTTTTTTCTTCTATATTGCTATGTAGCATTTTGTTGAGCAAATATAGCTCAATATATTTACCCCCTTGTACTCTTGAAAGGGTGTTTGGTTTGCTTCCAGTTTGGGGTAATTTTGAATTTTACTGCTAAAAACGTTTTTTATAAGACGTAGCTCGATGCACAAGTCCATGCATTTCCATTGGTTGTAGTCCTTGGAGTGGGATTGCTAGACCAAAAACTGTTTTCCAAAATTGTTGTACCAAGTTATTCTCACCAGCAGTATGTGACCATTCCCACTGGTTGTGCCCTCAGGCGCTGGATCCCCACAGGCGACAATCAAGGTATTGGCTGGGGCTGTGATATCATCTCTGGTTCCCCTCCTTGATACCTCTATTGTCACTCCTAATTTTAGCCATTCTGATGGGTGAATATTGCATTATGGTTTTAATTTTCATTTTCCTCATTACAAATAAAGTTGAGCACCCTTAAACAAGCTTGTTGATCATTGAGATTTTCTTTTGGAGAGCCTCCTAAAAAGGTATCTGACCCACTTTTCTTACTGGTGGTCAATCATTTTCTTGGAATTTGTATCCGTCTTTCATATATTTTGCATATTAGCCCTCATTTGGCATCTGGTAAATATCTTCTTCCAGTCTGTGTCTTGCCTTTCATTCTCTAACACTGTCTTTGCAATAGACCTAAGTTCTTCAGTTATCAGTCTAATGTAGTCAAATAGGTAATTATTTTCTTCAACGTTAATGACATTGCTGTTCAATCTAAAAATCATTCCTGTCGTTGACAATTTATATCATCTCTTAGAATGTTATTTTATCTTTTACAATTAAATATACAGTCAACTTGCACATGATTTGATTTGGGGTACGGTTTAGCGTAGAGGTTAAGTTTCTTTCTTTTCCTCCATGCGAATATCAAATCGACCAAGCACTATTTGTTATCAAGAACTCCTTTTCCCACTGCTTAAGAGTATCATCCTTGCCTTAAATCAACCGTCCACTTATGCAGAGCCGTCACTGTTTCTGAGCCATCTAGTTTCTTTCGTGATTGCCTATCCTTTTACCGTCTCCCCAGTGTCTTAATCAGCATGACTTTATAGATCTTGATGTGTGGTACATATCCAACTTTATTACTCTTCAAGATATCTTCAAACATTTCTTGGATATTTTTGGTGCTTTGCATGTCCATATACATCTTAAAATAAACCTGCAGGCGGGCAGCTGGGTGGCCCAGTCAGTTAAGTGTCTGCTTTTGTCTCAGGTCATGACCCCGGGGTCACAGTATCCAGTCCCGCATCAGGCTCCCCGCATGGAGCCTGCTTCTCCCTCTGCCTGGGTCTCTGCCTCTCTGTGTCTTGCACGAATAAATAAATAAAATCTTTTTTCCCCCCCGCCCGGCCATTAATAAAATCTTTTTTTTTTTTTGCCATTAATAAAATCCTAAAAAAAAAAAAAAAAAAGTGCTGTGTTTGTTCCGGGTATGTTCAAACACAACCAGCCTTTGAATATTTAGCTCCCATCTGCAAATCCGTTACATTGATTTATAGATTTAATAGCTTCTATACTTTTTGGATTTTTTTTTCTATGCACACATCATCTACGAAAAAAAAAAATAGCTTAGTGTTTCCTTCCTAATCTACATCTTTCTTTCTTTAAAATACTAAAAGCCACAATTCTGTACATCTGAGCAACGCGTGACTGCAGCCCTAAGTTCAGCACAAAGCTGCCTGCCAGGGGACCGACTCCTGTTCCACCTGCCGCACTCGCAGGGACAAGAGCGGACCCGCGCACGCGCCCTGACAACCACGTCCAGCCACCTGCAGCCCGGCCGAGGCCCCGCCCCTCGCCCCGCCCCCGGCCTCGGAGGCGGGAGGCGGAAGCGCACGCCGCCGGCACCCCCGTCGCCCCGCCCCCTCGCCCGGACGCAGCCAATCAGCGGCCGCCTCTTTCGAGCGCCCCGTCGGCCAAAATGGCGGCGGCCGTTGGCGCCGAGTCCCGTGTGTAGCTCCGCCGCCTCGCTCCTCCCGTTGCAAAATGTGAACCGGAGAGGCGGCGGCTGGAGGGGGGGCGGCAGGCAATGAGTCGGCGAAGGAAACATGGGGACAGCCCTGGCCTGAAGAACACGCCGCTCAAGGCGGCCGCGGCCGAGGAAGGCAGCTCGGTGGCCGAGCCGGGGAAGAGGCGGCTGCGGTCGGCAGAGCCGCGTCCCCGGCCCGCGCGGCAACGGGAGCAGCCTCCGGCGGCCGCTTCGTGCAGTAAAAGTAACCCCGAGGGTGAGACGTCGGCCCCGCGGCCTCCCCGCGCTCCCGGCGCCGCTCGCAGTGCGCAGACCCGGGGCGGGGGGCGGGGGGAGCCCCCGGAGGGACCCGCCGCCGCGACCCCCAGGCTTGAGCCGCGCGGTGCGGCGCCGTGCACGTGGCGGCCCGCGGCGGGGCGAGGGCGGGGGACGGCGCACCCCCGCGGAACCCGCGCACGCGGAGCTCGGCGGTGATGAACTCACCGGAAGTCCCCGCGTCTGACGTCATCGCGAGGACGCCCGTGGTGACGTCACCCCGAGGAACCCCGGGGCCCCTGCTGAGCCCTTTCATCCCAGACAATCTTTGGCGTTCCGGCTTTCTTTTTTCTTTCTTTCTTTTTTTTTTTTTTAAAGATTCTATTTATTTATTCATTAGAGACACACAGAGAGAGACAGAGAGAGGCAGACCCAGGCAGAGGGAGAAGCAGGCTCCACGCAGGGAGCCCGACGCGGGACTCGATCCCGGGACCCGGGGTCACGCCCTGGGCCGAAGGCAGGCGCCAACCCGCTGAGCACCCCCCTGCCCGCCCCTGTTGTGTCTTTTGTAGGATCTTTCTAACACATCCTGCCCCGGGAACTGTGACCCCCCCCCCCCAAAAGCGCTTCCTTTAAAGCGTGTTCTCAAAAACACGACCTACGTTCCCATCTGTTCAATGGGCTCGCGCGCAAGGCAGTTCTGGAATGAACAGACACCAGCGTTTGTGGGAATTGTAAAGTGGTGCTACGAATTTCCCAGCAGGAAACGGGAAATTAAATAATTAAAGCTGCTTTGCTGTTTTGCCTTTTTTTTTTTTTTTTTTTTTTTTTTGGAAGTGATTAGTGTAAGTCGGATAGAGGTGGTGATGAAAGGGGGCTAAACAGGCTTCTACTGAAGTTTTCCGCCGGGAGCCTTTTGATGTGTGTGAGATGCCGTCCATAGATGGCAGGTGGTTCCCCAAGCCGCCGGGTTCCAGTTGTAATGAGCGGAACGCCCTGGCCTCTGCACGTCGGTAGGGCTACTTACTGGGTCATCTCAAGACACCTGCTGTTTACCATGTCAGATTTGTGAAGCGTCGCAAGGATTCTTGGGTGAAACATTTCGGTCGTTAAGTTAATATACTCCTGTCTGGGAGGAGATTCTATAATTGCGCTATAAAAAAAAAAAAAATGGTCTAAAGGATGTCCGACCAAGTTGGGGTATCAGGAAGTAAAGTAACGCTTGACAACGCAACGATTGTTTTGTTTTTGTTTTTGTCGTTTTAATCTTATTTTATGTAGAAAGATATGAGACCCCAAAGAGAGTGCCGAGAATGGATTTACTGTCCTCTACCTTCAGTTCCCCTAATGATCCAGACGGACAGAATGATATCTTTTGGGATCAGAATTCTCCAATGACGAAACAGTTAGGTAATGTATTACTAATTAACATTTTTCATCTGGGTAAATACTTGGCAAGGGGGTGAGGATTTGACTCTAGGGTTTCAGCAGGGTAGTAACAGGACTTTCACACCACAGATGTGTCTTGAGAATCTCGGGTGATGGTTCTGATAGGCCTGTGGCATCAGTGCACAGCGGTTCCAAGCCCGTGCCAATTAAAATTGTTTTCTAGGAGGTGACTGCTACTCTTAAAGACTAATCTTTTTTGTTTCCCACTTAGAGAAATGTCTTTGTTCTTTAGGTAAAGGAAGAAAAAAACAGATTTACACCGCAGATAGTGATGAAATCTCACATATCGTTAATCGTATTGCTCCTCAGGTAAATATCGCTAGTTTCGTAGCTTGTTCTAAAACCGAAAACTATGCCACTAGGCCCACGTGTTGTTCACTTGGATGAGAAATGTTTTGTCTTTTACGATTCTCTTTTCTGAAAACAGAGCAGCAAAGGTTACCTCTGCCCTTTGTACTGCTGGAATGTACGTCTTGAAAAAAGGGACATGATGAATAATTGGCAATATATATTTTCCTAAGCATGTGTCTTTTGTTAATTTTTTTTAGAGTAATGATTTTCGACTAGAAGTTTGTGTTAATTTTGTTCTTAATGTTGTGTTTGACAATATATGGCATCGTTTTTAAAGTTACTAGAATAACAGACATTAAAATTTAAGCTTTTTAAAGTTATTTGTGATTGGTATTTGCTGTCTATAGCACACTCTTTCCCAATAGAAATTGTTCTTAATACTTGAGAAATGCTCATAAAAGTGGAAAGAACACTGGATCGAAGTTAGTTCTGTCTACTTCCTGTACTGGGTGACCATAAGCAAGTCGCTTAAGCTCTCAGAACTTTAGTTCATTCAGCCATAAACTAGAATTATTACTTGGCTTGCTCTCTCCATTGGACTATTATGAGGATTAAATTAGATAAAAATTCTTGATAAACATAGAGCACTATAAATGGGAGGTTATTTTAAAGTTCATTATGATAGTTAAATTATTTGCTGTCATAGAACATTCTCAAAAGTTCCTTTTTCTTTATTTCAGTTCCTGTACTGCTTGAATGAAATAGGAATATAAATTTAATGCAGCTTCTGTTCTGAACCTCTTTACTGTCCTCTCTTTTTTCTTATTTAACAATATTTAAATTCAGAAAACATCTTATTTTTGCTCATTGTCCTCTCTGTAGGAAATACGGGATTTTTTTCCTTGACATACCCTTGGAGAGTGACTACATAATGTTCACCATAAACAATAGATGGCATTGTCCCAAACTGTGGTTATAAGGAATTACCATCATCCAGGTGGAGGAGACAGGAAATAAAGTCTTTCTTAGTGGCTATAAAATATCCAAAATTACAATTAGCACAGCCAAAACAACTCTGTTGCTACTAGCTCTACATTCCATGTTTGGCATGTCATAGAAACTCATTTTACATACAGTTCATTAGTTAAATAGCTTTTATGCCATAATACTATTTACTTCATAAGTTAACAATAGATCTTCATTAATTGTGGGTTTCACATGAAAGAAGCATAATAAAATGTGTTTGGACTGGCCAGCTTAAATAGTGATAAAAAGATAGTTGAGTAAATTACTGGACCCTTTACCAAGTGGGCTGGAAATAATAGCTCACATAAAGAAATGGCAACAATATGCAAGTGATAACTTGTGTATAAGAAAAAAATACAGTGAAATTAGTTGCTTTTAAATGTTACTCTTTTCAACTAGGCACTTTTAAAGCATACAAATCTTTGGTAGTATTTTTAAATAACTAGTCTTTTAAAGCATATAAATCTTTGGTAGTCTTTTTAAAAGATTGTCATGTTCTCAGAATGACATATTCATGTTTTTTATTTTTAGGTGAGTTAACCCCTTCAAATAGTTATTTAAGTCACCTTGGTATTTACAGAGACGGCTTTTTTTTTTTTTTTTAATGCACTTCTATTTTCACTGGACAGTCGTTTCACTTTCTTGAGGGATGCTTTTCATAATAGTTTGAGGATGTGTAGTTTTTCATCATTTTTATACAACTTTACACCAAATACTCTTTAGGATTAAATAATGTATTCAAATGCCTTATATAGCACCTGGATTATAGTTAGAAATCAATGAATTATGCAATTATTATTAGAGATATTTTAAAAATATAACAAATAGTATAAAATCATACAAAGGGCTCTTGTGTATATAAGTCGGACATAAAAAGTTGTCATACTGTTCTCTAAAAATTGAATACATTTAAAAATACTTAATAAATGGACAAAAGGTGCATTATTAAGTCATTGAGTATTTTCTCTAAATTCAAGGTTGTTGAAACAAAAGTGAAAATATATATTGAGTCTGAAAGTAAAATGATTGATTTACTGCAGTATTTCGTGGAGCTAAAAATCTAGGTTTAACTGAGGTCTAAGAAAACTGCGTATTGATTGAGGAAGTTAAAGTATCAAATTATAGGGACATTTTCACCTAAATCTAGCAAATAAATATAAACTGATATCTTTGTCATGCCTAGCATTTTGCTAGATGCTGATCATAAGATCAGTCCATGCTTTCAAGTATTCTATAATCTAGTAATACAGTTATTTTCAGCTTATGTGACATTTATGTTCATTCTATGTACTATGTTCATTCTAAGTACAAAAATAGAGTAGAAAATGGTTAACCCATTTGATTTGTTGATTTGGTTTATAACTAATGAGTAAACTCATTTTCTAATTTTTTTGCATGACTGAAGGCAGTAGCAAAAACATTGAGGATTAAAATGGCCCTTTCCTATCCTTTATAGTGGTTAAAGTTCTTTTTCTGCTTTCTCTCCTTATTTTTGTCCTTTATGCCTGCCTTATTCTTAGCATCAGTTTTAACATCGCACTTAACTAAATCAGTCCTGAGCTTAATTCTGTGTTCTCAACTCAGGTCAACATGGATTCTCCAACTTTAGATAAAGATTATAAGGGGGTAGGGAAGATTTGAAGAACCAGATGATGAGGAAAGAATTCCATATGTATTTCTATCCTTAATAAGTCAGTCGGTTTTCTCTTGAAAAAAAAAAAAAACTGCTTTTACTGTTGAATATGCATTTGTTAATTAAATTCTTACAACTTAATTTTGAAAATAAGGAATCATTGGTTCTGAATGTTTTCATTTCCTGAAACATAAATGGATCACTTCTTAACAGCATGTTACTGCCATCCTTCAACTTCTCATTGTTCTGAAATTTGTTTAGTAACTGTCACCTTACCAGATTTTATTGCTTTAGGAAAATAATTCAATGTACTTAGTTTTCTTTTTTCTTATTTTCTTTCTGTCTCTCTTTCTTTCTTTTTTTTGGGGTATGTACATGTTTTGTTTTGTTTTTTTCCCTTCTGCCAAAGGATGAAAAACCATCAACAAACTCCATGCTAGGCGTGTGGATTGGTGAGACTGCTATTCCTTGTACCCCAAGTGTAGCAAAAGGAAAATCAAGAGCAAAAATCAGCTGCACAAAGTAAGTTCAAACTTTTCAGCTTTTCTGACATTCAGTGAAGTAAATATTTTTAATAATATTTTGTTTTGGTTTTGTATATATTATCAAAATGGTTATAAATTTTTTTTAGTTTTGACATGAAAAATTTTAGACTTAGAATAATTGTAAATGTTAAAATTTTGTTTTAGTGTATTTAAAAAAGGTTAATAATAAATGAATATTTATAGTGACTCTTAGAAGTTTTCATAGTTAAAATTTCTAAAATGTTTTATCAATAGGTTAAAAACACAAAATCGAGAGGAAGAACTTATGAAATTGGCTAAACAATTTGATAAAAATATGGAAGAACTAGATGTGATGCAAGAGCAAAACAAGAGAAATCATGATTTTATCCAGACAATTTCAGAAGCAGAGACTTTAAGCAATTATATAGATAATGTACAGATGCAGTTATTACATGATATAGTTCCTGAAATAGATAATGCCATAATAAAGAAACCAGGAAAAGAAAACACCCAAATGTCTGTGGTAAATGATCACAATAGCAGTCAAAAGCCATTTGATCAAAATGCTGAAGCAGCTTTTAATGACATTTTTGATGGCTCTACTCAGAAATGTAGTGGACAGTTCAGCCAAGATCTGTCCAATGCTTTTTTGAACACGAATAATACTACCTTTGGAAAGAAAAGTGCTTTGAAAGAGGAGAAAATCATTATTAATGAAACTCTGGTCCCTGAAAAACTGACAGATAAAACCCCAGGATCACTTTTTTGTCAAGAAGACGCTCCTGGAATGACAAAATCATGTGTGACTTCTTATACTGAGAAGCCAGAAGCTTTTAATACACACCTTGATGCATTTACTACCAGTGATTTTGAGGATGATTGGGAAAACTTACTAAGTAATGAACCTTTTGTTACACAGGATGGCAAAATGTGTGAACTTTTCCCTGCTCCTAAAACAGCTGAAAATCCTGAACAAAAGGGAATTTATAATTTTAACACCAAAAATGATAAAAATAAGTCAAGAATGAATACAAGTCTAGATGCCAGGTTAGGGGATTCAAAAATTTTACAAGATCTCCCTTCAAAGACACATAATGAAGAATCCATAGATTCTGGAAAAGACAGGTTTTCACTAAATCTAAATGATAAACCAAACAAATTATCATCCACTGGAAATAAAATGAAATTTGAGAAATCGTTCAATAAAATTGAGAAATCTTTCAATAAAACTGTTGTTCAAGACAAAATTCAAGACTGTGCAGTTGCATCTAATCTGACAAAAGTAAAAGAAGATACACACACTAAATTTACTTCTAATGTAAATATTTCTGAAAAGTCCACTTTGAACACAGGATATTCTAATGAACGAAAAAGTAAGTCCGTTTACAATCAGTCTTGTAAAGCACCTGCTAATATAGATCCTTTTGGCTCTCCAGCTTTGGGCAATGAAACCAGTGTTTATAATCCAAATCAGACTAATGCATCAAAGTTAGGTTCTTTCTTTGATGACTGGAATGATCCGTCATTTGCCAATGAAATTGTTAAAGCATGTCATCAACTAGAGAATACCTGGGAAGCAGATGATGTAGATGATGATTTATTATACCAAGCATGTGATGATATTGAAAGACTAACTCAGCAACAAGATATTAGAAAAGACAGCAAGTTATCAGAAAGTAAACTTGAGATCAATTATAGTTCCAGACACGGAGCCAAAAACATGTTTACTTCATATAAACAAGAAAGTCAGTTGGTGCAATCAAAGCATTTGAATCCGAGCAGCATTTCAGGGCACACCTCTTTCACAAATAGATCACGATTGAATAAACCAGTGAAGATGGAAAAAGAAATTTGTGGAAATTCTCCAAGCTTTTTAGGTGCCACGACTAATTTGACAATATACTCTCAGAACTCAAATTGTCAGATCAATAATCTACATTATCCCCGGAACAACAGTGATGTTCCAATACAAGTGAACAGTACCGAATCGCTTCTTACCGGAAGTTCAAGTTTGAATGTGAATTCAAATCCTCGGAATACAGAAACTACTACTTACAAAAAAAAATTAAGTACTCAGCATCTATCCCATAGGAGCACAACAGATGGAGCTCAGAGTGACCTTAACAGACCAGTGAGATTTCCTAAGTATACATTTATAAAGATGAAAAATTCTCACATTCTTTCCCAGTTTAATCAAAATTGTATGCCAGGAAATATTTCTGATACCAAAATTACACAGAGTTTAGAGAAAAATAAGACTCCTATCAACCCGTTTTGTGGGAAGACTAATCAACAGCAGTCTGTGGTGAAGCATTCTGAATCTTTGAAACAGCCTTCAAAAGGTATGTATAAAATAGTTTTCCTTGGAAGTTATCCCCTGGGAAAGTAGCTAAACCAGTTATTTGTTCTATTGAATTTGTGTAATATCTAAAATGCAAAAAACTGTGATGTTTACCAGAATTCTTAAAATACAAAGGGTGGGTGAATTATGTTTTCAAAAGACCGCATCAGATTCTTTCCCAGCTTTTAATACAGCAACTAGCATATAGTAGGTAATAAATATTTGTTGAATATTTTCTGAATTATTTCCTAGAAAATTGTACTTTTAGATACATTGCTCTAAGACTGTGTTTACTGAATACTGTTTTAAAACTTGAATAATCTTATTCCTGTGTTTAACAGGACATTGAGGTGAATATTTGAAAATTCAGAGCATTCTAATTAAACACATTTGCCACATAATATGTGATATAAAACTCTGTTAGTTGTGATAGTTAGAATTGTAATTTACTTACTCAGTACAACCTGTCATCTTTGGTTCTTCTGATTCCTTTCCCACAATTTTATCAAGTTCCATTGTTTCAGCCTCAAAAAAAAAAAAAATACATCTCAAAATTGTCCTTTTTTCTCACTCTTAACTGCTAACCAGCCTTACGCCAGCCAACATTTTTTGACAAGATTGTAGTTCTTTTATCTGTCCTTTTTCAATTTTAGTCTCCAAACAGTAGAATAATCTTTTAAAAACAAATAGGCAAAGATGGCATTCCTGTGCTCAACCACAACCTTCATTGTTGGCCCATCATTTTTCAAATAAAATTCCAATTTACCCTCATCTACAAGGCCCTGGATTATCACTTCCTATCCTGCCTTTCTTCTTTTTTCTGTCACCTGGTAACCTTCAACTACACCAGCTGTCTTTCAGTTCCTTAAACAGAATAGTTTCCTAGTTCAGTAGTTCTGACCATGTTATTCTCCGCCCTGCCCCCCCCCATTCCATCTTTTGCTTTTTTATCCTCAGGTCTCAGTTTGAGTATGACCTCCTCACAGAGACCCTTCCCTGCAGTCTATAAATATAAATAGGTCTTTTATTTGCTATTTTCCATCATCTCTTTTATTTCCTTCATTTCTTTCATCACAATTTGCAAGTAAGTACTGATTATTGTCTGTCCTGTGTGTAAATACCTAGGCCTACCACAGCATCTGCCACTTAGAGGATGTTTAGTAGTATTTTAATAAATATCATATTGATATGAAGAATCTGTTATTCACTGGTAACTGTGATGTTTTTAAAAGGGACTGTGTCTGGCATAACTACTTGTACATCTTAATGTCCAGCTCTTTCTCACAGCCTCATGTTTTTACAGATGCCTTTTCCTTCCTTCGCTACGAGGATAGTGCCCCGACATGCATACCCCAGATCTGATCGCCCATTTTCCATTAGTCCTTAAAACACAGTATGTTTCTGTCCACGTAGATAATTTAGGTTCACATTCTCTGGGTTTTTCCAATACCCAGTGTTAAATTCTGTTAAGCATTTACTGTGCTAGCTTGTGATTATTGATTTTCTTCATCAGTCTTCCTCACTTGGGGCTAACATTAGGATTCTTATCTATTATGTAGATCAATGCTAAAAAGGTGAGGGAGTTTTTAGCTTCTTTTAACATTAGATCATTGTTTTCTGTTTAGATCCTAGGTGATGCTTTTTTTGGCATTACTGCTACAACCTTCCTATTAAATGATCCCACCCTTTATGTAGTTTTTTTTTTAACTTGTAATAGTAATACGCTGGTTGTTTAAAAAGAAAGAAAACAAGATTAATTTTAAGTAAAAAATAAAATACATTTTCTACTCTATATTTTCTCGCAGCCATACCTCAGGGATATCACAGTTCACAGTTTGGAATACATCTTGTAGAATTTTCTGTGCAAATAAAAACGTGTGCTTGTTTGTGCGTCTTTACACCTGGGTGCATACACATTTATGTAATAAGATGGAATCATGTACTATGTACCTACTATTTGGCACCTTGGTCTTGCCTTCATTTAATACAGCTATCTTTTCCTGTTACAGTTTTGTTTCAGTCCTTTTAATGACTACATAGTATGTCGTTATACTGACATACTGCGATTCTCTCTTGATGGAAAGTCCAGTCTGGTTGCATTTTTTGCATTATAAACAATCCTCCCGTGAATATACTTCTACGTAAATTTCTCCATGCTCGTGTGATTTTATCTGTTAATTATTGAAAAATTAATGTAAGAGAATGGTTTGAATTTGATGGATGCCATCAAATCTTCCCAAAAGGTATATCAATTTATATTCTTATCAACATTGAAAATGAATATTTCTCTACATTATAGCCTAGATATTTTCAAACTCTAAAAATTGTAGTCAACCCATAATAATTTTAAATACTTAAATTTATATTTAAATAAGTATAAATAATTGGACCTACTCTTAACATGAATTTATTTTCATATAACTATGTTAAAGACTATAATACTGTTAAGGACTATAATACTCTGGAATATTTGAGTTTTCCCAAAACTACTATCTACCATCCTGTCTGCATTTTTTATGGGTGGATAATCTGTCTTTGAGTTTATCTTACCAATTTTTTTAAGTTTACTGATAGTACATAGGTAATCTCCTATTTAACATTAACTTTCTTGATATTTTCTATGGTTTCTACTTTTTTACTTTGTTATGTAGATGTGACAAGCTGCTCTCCTGAGAATATCTCTGACCTAAAAGCCCAATTAACTAATTAACTCATTGCTTTAAGGCAGGGTTTGGCAAACCATGGCCTATCCAGATCCAGCCCATAGCCTGTTTTTATAGAGCCAGCATGCTAAGGTGGTTTTCACATTTTAAATATTTGAAAAAATTAGGAAAAGAGTATTATTTCATGACTTTTGAAAATTACATGGAATTCAGATTTCATTGTCATAAAGGTTTATTTGAAAACCGTCACGTCATTTGTATTGTCTGTGGCTGTCTGTTTTCATGCTACTGTAACAGCTGAACAGTTGCAACAAGAAACCATATGACTTTCAAAGGTTAATATATTTACTTTCTGGCCCTTTACAAAAAAAAATTTTTTCTGACTTCCGCTTTAGGATAAAGATTAAGAAGAGCCACTGTTTTCTTTGTACATTTGCAATAGTTTGAGACTTCGCCTTGTATTTTTTATTGAAGATTGAGTTAAAGAAAAGGCTGCTGGGAAAAATGGATGATTCTCTAAATCAGATTTTCATGGTGTGACTTTATTTACATCATTTTAAATTATTTTCCAAGAATATCACCAAGCCAATTAGTTTTAGGGAGCTATGTTCTTATCTTCTATCATGGATTATTAACTTGTTTTCCTTCCAGACTTATGGTCCATTTGAATGCAACTGTGTATGTGTATATTCTGAGTTTATATGTCTCAGCCTCAAGACTAAAATATTAGACAATTAGTCAAGCTAATTATAAAGTATCTTGTAGCATCTTTCTGTAAGGAAAAATAGCTACAAATCTGTGAGATAATTAGTTTAGGAAATAAATAAGGCATCAGAGTAATCTGGGGAGTTTATCTGAAATATTTATCTTTTACCCTGAACACCCTCTCCCATTTCCAATTATACCAAGAAAGGAAGGGGAGGCAGATAATTTATTTTGGACAAATAATCTCCCTTATTTTAACAAGAGATAAATAACAAAGTCTGAACCTTTGTCTAGATTTTAGTGTAAATATTTCTCTGCCAACAATACTACAGATTCTTATTCTTTGAGAGGCTGATTTTACAGCAACATTTTTACCAATACAAGGTCATGTGAATATGAGTTAGAGTGATGGTCTTAACTTTAAAACATCCTTTAAGTGAGAAAACACGTTTGCTAATTTTAAAGTTTGATTCTTATTAGCATTGTATAGATAATCTAATATTTTAGCTCAAAGTGACTAAACTGTGGAATTAAATTCATTTTATTAGAACTCAGTATTCTGGCAGGGATAGAATTGGATGTGTTATTAAAATCAAACTCCATTAGTTTCGTTCATTTAAAACACATTGTGTATAGTATATTTACCTGAAGTATACACTAAAATATGCTGCATAGAATATGTCAGAATGCTTCACATTTCTATAAGCTAAAAAGACATTCAAATTGAAGATTTTATTCAGATATTCTGCTTTTTGAAATGTTTCTAATATTTATATGAAATGTATCTTCCAAATAAAAATATCTGAAGTGAATTATATGGTTATTGACATGATGGATTTCACTCTAAAACATTTTTCCTGAATGGCTAAAATGAAAATCTTGGAGCTCTTTAAAGGAAAAAATGTTAGTTGAATATTAGTATAGTTTATCTTATAGTAAAAATAAACTCGTTGAGGTATTGGTATCTAATTCATAATCTTTTGACTGCTTTTCTGTTAAACTTTATATAACATTTTAAATCCCAGTTTTTAAAAGCTACTCATTTGTTGATTATATAAGTTAGATGTCCTTATTCACAAGAATTATGTGTTAGGAAGTTAAAATGTACAGTTTTAATCAAATGAATTTTATCACATTATGAAAAGGTGTATAAAATAGGGACAGATTGATCAGTGCTTGATTTTTCTTTTGGCCTAGGGCACTGTATCTGTACAAGAGACCTCATATTTAGTAGTTTATGTGATTTAATAGTTAATACCAATGTAGCAAATCTGGGTAACAAAGTAAAAACTCATATTCAAGATGACTTCTGTAGTCTAAAAAGAATAATATCTATATTTTGTTTAATTTTTAGAGGAAGAAGAGAAAAATAAAAAGTATTCTCCTGAAGAAATTCAAAGAAAAAGACAAGAAGCCCTGGTTCGAAGGATGGCCAAAGCACAGGCATCATCAGTAAAAGCAGCTCCCACTTAACTTGATTTCTTCTATGAAATATTAGTTGGAAGACTTCACAAAGACAGTTAATAGCTATCTATGATAGGAAATATATATATTTTTTGTTTCTCTATGAGAAATTTAATGCTGACTTAATAAAGCATGGACTTCTTTTTATTTGTAATGGACTTCTATTTTATTTAATAAATCAATGTTTGCAATGGTCAATGAAACCTTGCCTTGGAGAGGTATGTGAAAGTAATTGCATATAAGTTTTGGAAATTCAGGAAAGTTAGCAATTACGTTGCAGAATTATACAGAGCAAAGTAGCTATATTTTTAAGTATTGTGGGTCATCCAAAAATAGGTAATCTTCTAATTTTTTTATTGTAGTAACTTCTTAACACAAAGCTTCAACTCACTAAGTAAATAAGACTATTTTTTTATAGTTTTACTTTCAATAACTGTTTCTAAGTTTATACATTTCTGAATTCTAAAAATACTTCCCTATTCTTAGGAACATGTTTGGTGGGAAATCAAGGACTTTGTTTTATTTATAAGGAAATTACTATTTTCAATTCCTAATCTGAAGTAGATTTTAATTATAGTTTTCTAAAACGTGCATTTTGGAAATTCTCCACTGTTTTTAGGGAAAATGCTGATTTAAGAAGTTTAGAAAAAGGGAAGTAGACCGGCTATATAAGTAATATAATATTATTAACATTGAGAACTGTCAGAACCTTTTTAAGGTGTCATCTGTTCCAACTTCTTTATTGTATGGGTAAGAAATGAATACTGTTATTCTAAAGTCACAAGGCAAGTTAAAGCTGTGCTGGGATTAGAATGATTGCTTTCATTCTAATGAACACCTAGACAATTATACCATTTTCTTTAGAGTATTAATTAGTATATAAAATAGCTTGTTTATAGAAGCATTAATTATTTCATAGTATAAAACTAAAAATAGTAACTCAAAGTACGTTAAGGACTGTCTAATAATAAATAATGCTCATTGTTTCTTTTTTTTTTTTCATTGTTTCTTGTATTAAAGAATTCATCATTCCAGGATATAAAAATGAGAGTCATTCTCTTTTTAGTTTTCCTGTAACTATTTAATTTTTCCTTAATTAATTTTCTGACTTTACTAATTTATCTCTATTGCTCTATTTTTTTCTTTTTTATTTAGAAATAACTAAGCCAGAAAATCTAAGTAGAGGTCATAAGGACAGTAGACAGTAAGGTTGCTCTGTTTATCCTAAATCACTTTAGGAGACCTGATGAAAGTTATAGATGTGAAACACCTATTAGTGCATTCACCCCTATTCAGGTGTCTTAGAGCAATGATAATACCAAAATAATTAAATGTATTTTAAGATATGACTATATAGAGCTATATCACTCTGAAAATTGTGTTTTCGTGTATTTAGTGGAGTAACACTGTAACACCTTTTTCCTTTAGCTTTTATTAGAAACAGTCAGGATTTGTGGCCCTTCAGTGAACACAGATGGCTATGTAGATAGTTTCTCTAGGTTGGCTCTTCCCAGTCTCTAGGAAATGTGTCCACACAGAAGAAGGCACAGTTGGTAGTCCTGGCAGCTCTTTTCCAGCTCAAGCTTGGCTGCTGTTTATGCATCTCAGGCTGGTCATGGGAGAACTTGACATTAATAATGCCATGATTACAGGAAAGTCTACTGCAGAGACTTTGCTTATTACACACACACAGTCAGTCAGTCGTATGCAGGCATGGACCATACCTTGGGTTCAGTGTTTATATCATACTCTATTATCACTAACTTTTACATTCCTGAGAACAGAGGCACCTTACTCATCTCTATCTACTCAATACTGATATCCAGTGGTTACTTAAGTATTTTATGAATTTGGATAAATTCTGATGGCAGAGTTCTGGCTCCCCCAACTCAAAGCAATTTGATTCTGATTCCCTGAGCTATTCAGGATTAGAAGATGTTTTGAGGATCAATTTAAATGTGGCATAACTGATTAGTGTAAGTGATAATTTATCTAAAATCTAACCATGATCTTCAGTTCTTCCCAGTGATGATCAGAATCACTCATGGGACTCAAAAACAAAACAATAAACTTGTTGTACCTTCTTTAGATTTTATAGATGAATACATCTAGGGATCGATTTCAGATATGTGTGCTTTTAAAGCTCATTGGCTAATAGCCAACAGGATTGAAAAGAAACTGTAATTGCTAAACTTATATAAGTTGCTAAATGTTTTCTTTACATGCATGATTTTAAGAAATTCCCGTAACTAATTTTCTTCTCAAAACAACTATGTAAATAACACTTCTTACCACCTTTTTACAAAAAAAAGAAGCTGAAGTAAGCATATTAAGTGATGTTCTCAAGGTCACACAGTTAGAAAGTAGTTGGAGCTAGGGTTTGAACCCAAGCAGTATATTTTCAAATACCATGATCTTAATTGTTGGCCATACTGTCATTCTTGGAAACTATTCATAAGAACTATTTGTCTATGGGAATTGTATGTACAGGAAAGAACTGTAACATTTTGGGCAAGTGTGCCAGAAGACTCGCTAGAATTCTATAGCTTGACTGTACAGCCCAGGAGAATTATTTTCTAGTCGCAGTTGCTGTATACTGATGACTCCTACTTTATGTGTACATAAGCGGGTGGGTATGTACTGATTAGGTGAAACCACAGAGAGATCACCTTTTTCATTCAACCACTAGAGTAGAGAAATACATAAAATGTATAGCCATTTAAAATGTCCTCATTTTACTTCGCTATTTTAGTAACTTCTGGGTGTTCTGGTTTTAAATCTATTAGGGAAAGCTTAATTGCCTAGGCTAAGATGAAATGGCATACCTCAAGCTGCTAGTAAAACTCTGATCCAAGTAATAAAATTAATGTTTCTGGTTAGATCCACACTATATGGAAGACTGGTATTCTGCATTTAATTTGTTACAATATGTTATTGTTAAGTCCAAGCTCACACAGATTGTAATTGGGAAAAGGAAAAGTATTTTAATAGTGTTTTCAGATAATTATATTCTCTGATATACACACAAAACTCAAGAAGTGGTAGTTTCTCTAACTGATATACCCCAAGACTGATATACACAAAAACTCAAGAAGTGGTAGTTTCTTTTCTTTCTTTTCTTTTTTTTTTTTTTTTTTTTTGAAGTGGTAGTTTCTTAAAAGCTCTAACTTCTGTTTTGAGCTAAGATGGAATCATAAGGACTGCGTATACTCTTCTTGCTTAAAGAATCAAAGAACAAACTACATGGAAAAGTAGATTTCAAGACAACCCGAGAATGAGAAAAACAGATGGAGCCCTATGATTTTCCCGGCTTCCTGCCTTGAGGGAGTTTCCAGACCATGATGCAAGGCAGCAGAATTGAGGAATAATCTAGTAGAGACTGTGAGTGAGAAAATGAAGCTGAAGAGTCTAGGGAGACAGTTAGCCAGAGTTCACAGCACAGATTACCTGTGAGAAGACTGAATCAGAGATCTGCAGATGATCCCCCTTGAGAATTAAAGTCAGTACTGATTAGCACTTATGGAGGCTAGAGAAAGAGACATTGGAAAGGATGAGGGAACAAACATTGAGTGGTGCTCACAAGGGTCTAGTAACAATGCCAGTTCTCACCAACCAAGGTCACTGGGTAGTAACTTGTCTGAGTGGTAGGGAACAATTTGCCTTAGGTCATACTGCCCTGGGCCCACCCCCAACAAATCATAAACGCAAGGTCACAAAGGACCAAACCATTCCCACATAACTGCGTCCTAGGGCAAAATATAAAAATATTTAAAGAAAAAAAATGCCCAGCAGTTATGAGCTAAAATAAACAATGACTGTCTAATTAAAGATCACTAGGCATGCAAAGAAGCAAAAGCACAACCCATAATGAGAATCAATTGAAGCAAACCTGGATCTGATGTAGATGTTAAAATTAACAGATGAGGATGTTAAAACAGCCACAGGTATTACATGTGTTCAAAAAGTTAAGTAGAAACATGGAGGATATTAAGACTAAATTCAGACTTTTAGAGATGAAAGCTACAATATCTGAGATGAAAACACTACGTAGGATTAATGGCAAATTATTGCAGAAGATTAGTAATAAGCTTGACATATCAATAGGAATTACTCAAAATGAAAAAAAAGTTAATGAACTGTGAGTTGTAGAACAACTTCAAGTAGCGTAGTGTATTGTTAATTAGAGTCTGAAGGAGGAAGTGGGAGGGGAATATACAAGATGTTTGAATAAAATAACGACCTAACAATTTTCAGATTTTATGGAAAGTATTAATCTGCAAATCCAAGAAATCCAATGAACTTGAAGCACAAGGAATATTAAACTACAAAGCCACATCATAACCTGTATAAAACAAAAGCAATAAAGATAAAAACGAACAAAAATGAATATAACAAGAATTTTCATCAGGAAATCTGAGAAGACAGTGGAGAAATATCTTTAAAGCACTGAAAGGAAAAACCTGCCTACCTAGAATTCTATACCCAGCAAAATGTCCTTCAAAGGCAAAAATGAGATAAAGATTTCTATAGATATATAGATATATACGATTTGAAAGAATTACTGTCATGAGAAGAAATTATTAAAGGATGTCTTTTTTTTAAGATTTTATTTATTCATTAGAGATACAGAGAGAGAAGCAGAGGTACAGACAGAGGGAGCCGGACGTGGGACTTGATCCTCACAGGGAGCCGGACGTGGGACTTGATCCCCAGACCCAGGATCATGCCCTGAGCCGAAGGCAGATGTTCAACCACTGAGCCACCCAGGTGTCTCTAGAGGATGTCTTTTATTCAAGCTGACAGAAAATGATATTAGATGAAAATGTGGGTTTACATGAGGGAATGATGAACACTAGAAATGATTAACATATGGGGTGATATGTAAGATTTTTTTTAATTATTTAAATGTTTTGCCAGATAATTGCTCATACAAAAATAACGTGCAGTTTAGAACACAAAAGTTAAATATATGACAATAGCATAAAGTCTAGTAGGCAAAAAAAAAAAAAAAAGTCTTAGCACATTTTGACATGCATGGGTTTCAGTTACGTAACACCAGTCCCCCAACAATATAGTTCAAATTCCTGTTAACACGGTATATTAACTGAGAGTACTTGCATAAAGTACAAACTTTATAGCTAACTCAGTCCACCAATCACTACCCAAATAACAGATGTAGATTCTGACGCATGACCAATCATTGTCCCAACTGCCCAGTTGACATCATTCCCAGATCAGAGCTAAGGATTTGGGAGTCCAGTTTTTTATCCTGAGCTATAGCCAGTTTTAAGATCAGTTCTGGCTGACTCCATATCTCACGATCTTTCTGCAATAATAATTATGTTCTTCTCTAGATATTGGTTAGTAACTATTATTCTCGTGGAACCCAACACAGGGCTTGAACTCACCACCCTGATACTGAGACCTAAGCCAAGACCAAGAGTCAGGTGCTTTAACCAACAGCCACCCAGGCACCCCACCATTATTTTAAAATTTATCCATTCTTTTGCTGGTTTATGGTGTTTTATAGGGCTTCTTGGTTTTGTTTCCTTCTGTTTTTAATACAATTGGACTTACACTAAATGAAAGAAAATTTTAAACGTTTAATAGAAAACATTCCCTTCTTTCGTATGAAGGATTTAGTAGTATATTCTAAATGCAAATACAGACAACGTCGTTTAAGTGCTGAAGATCTCCTGTTCCATTTATAACTCCTAGTCTGTGAGTACTCTGTAAGGCAGAATGAAACAGATGGAGAAAACTCCTTGACACTATTTAGTAACCTCAGATTTCTTTATGGCTTAGTGCAGTTTCAGCTGTGCATCTCCCAAAAGACATGTGAGAAATAGAAAAGGCTAAGGGAGGAACAATGAAAATGAGCTTTAAAATAAGGGGTATTATCGAAAGATGAATGGATAAAGAAGATGTGGTTTATGTATACAATGGAATATTACTCAGC